TGGATAGGTGCCCCTCCCTGCATTAAATATTTATCTAGCGTGCTGGCTGGCTGGCGGGCGGGCGAGTGGGAGGGCAGGCAGGCGCAGGCGCAGGCACGCCTCACCGCCGCCACTGTGGTCAGAGTGGGTGGGGCTCGGTGGAGAGCAGCTGGCGTACTCTGCTGACCACATGCAGCTTCTGTTCGCTCGCTGCACACGTCCCAGCCCAGTTTCCTGTTCAGCCTTGTTTGCTTTAGCTGTTTGCATGTGATCCTTAGCTTCTTGCAGAGTGAGATGGTGTTTGCAAGAAATGTCACAAATGCGACCTGCTGCTTGGCTCCCCTCCCCTCCCATTCCTCAGTCAGGACAGCCAGTGTCCCCTTGCTTTCTGCATCACAGCCCATGTGTCTGCAGAGCAGTCAGGGGGACAGGTGTGCCCACGCTTCTCATGTGATGTGCTGTGTGTTTTGTTCTCTGTAGGGAGGCAGTCGCCGTGGTGTGCGAGGCAGTGCCCGGAGCCAAAGGGGCTCAACGGAGAAGGAAGGTACCTGCCTTGCCCGCTACGCCCCCCCCCAACCACCTGTTCCTGTTCCCCTGGCCCTCAGCCTGCTTTTTAATTCAGGGAGTTTTAAATCAGCAGTTAAGTACACACTCTGAGCACGACCTGACAAACTCCACCCCTACCTCTGGTGCGGGTGCGAGTCTGGTGTGAGCCATTTCTCAACACCACCGTCGGCACCAATCAACCCACATGCATCCGCCTGGTGCGGCATGGCCCGTCCCGCTGCGCCACTCTCTGTCAGAGTAGAAAGTCGGCAACATACCCGCAAATGCATCCGCCCAGCCTGTTGTGGCTTCTGTCAAGCTGCATCCACACGGCAAGCGGAGAACCGCTTGGCACAGGCAAACAATCTGGTTTACCTGTTCACACTTCATGACAGAGCATTTGCCATAAAAATGTGCAATTGTAAGTGTTTTTCTATATTTGTCTCTCAAAATGTTCCTCCTCTGAAAGACCACATGCGCATATTTTATATATACATTTTAAAGTTAATTTGCGTTTACTTTAGTTTCATTAGCAAAATATGCTTACTAAAACTACCCTAGTATCACTGTCTCTGAAGTGACACACCTCCAAGTAGAATTTTTCTAAAGTCTCGATAAGACTTAAGCTTATGTTAAATAATTTGGGGTACTGGGACACTGCAATTAATTGTTTCTCCTCCATGTTGCTAAATGGTTTGGTTTCCAAGTCGCTGAACCTAAAACCAAAGATTGTCACAAACCAAAGATTGTATTATGTTGGATGCTGGTTCACTAGAGGTCGGTGAACTTGGTGAAAGTTCAATCAATTTGAACTTTGAGCAGTCAAGCAAAAAACCAGGCGGTGCTGGGCGCTTGAGGTGGTGTTGGCGCTTATCTGAACGTGGGTGTTAAACATGGCCGCCCACTTCAGAAGGGTTAACGCAGTGCCTCCGTAACACGTATGTTAATCTCTGACACTGCCGTTCTGAAGAATGGAGGAGTTTTTGTCCTGCTGGAAGCTGGAATTTGTCACAGTTTCATTTCTTCAGGGTATTTATGTATATGAATCACTTTTGACTGTCTCACTGGGGCTTGCCGGTACTTCGAGTCCTGCTCCATGTGTCTGTGGTGTTTTCATATCCTTTCCTTATTGACATGGGATTATTTAGTTACCTCTCAGTCCTTAGATATACTGCTAGGTTAATCATCTCTAAATTTGCTATATTGTGTGATTGTCAGTGTTCTCTTTAATGGGAGTGCGCACGAGAGTGTGCTCTTTAATGGGAGTGCGCACGAGAGTGTGCTCTTTAATGGGAGTGCGCACGAGAGTGTGCTCTTTAATGGGAGTGCGC